TTAGCACAAATCGGAGGTAGAAGCTCCGGTTAAGTACAACGGGTGCTTTATCGATCACATGTTCCATTCATCATTCGAAATCGTCGATAGTGTAGTGGTAGTGATAACCAGACATTGAACAACCATGCATATAACAGGGAGTCGGTAACGTCGATAACTATGTTTAACCGGGGATTAGTGTCAACCAGGCTTTGAGCAACCGGCCCTTAAATTTATTTATCTAATAATAATACAGCACACAGCCCTGAAATCTAAGAAAAAGTCTGAGGAAGGCCATTAAATAGCAGCACACAAACCCGTGCCTTCCTCAGGAGTGAATATAACTACAACAACAACGACTACTACAACAACAACCCAAAAAGGTTGGTTACTGTCTATACTGTGGTGCTAAGGGCCGGTTACTCAATGTCTGGTTATCACTACCTGCCGGTTAAACATCATTATCGACATCTTCGACATCATGCATATAACATGTGATCGATAAAGCAGTCCTTGTATTTAACCGGAGCTTCTACCTCTGATTTATGCTAATCAGACATTGAACAACTGGCCCTAAGTATTTGTCAATTCGTGATTAAAGAAAATTATAAATGGTGTTGAAAAACCAAACAAACGCTCGTGCGAAAGCTCTATTTTTGGGTATTGTTAAAATTTATACATGGCGTACTTATTCTTTTGTGGACTTTGTTACTTGAAAATTTAGACAACGTGCGAGCTGCCAGGTTCTGTTATCAATATAATTAACACAAGCTTTTCCGAGTGGTTGCCTTTCAATAAAAAGAATAACCAAATATTCGTAAATAAATTGGATTTATTTTATAACTGACAACTAACATACGCTTTTTGTTCTTTTCTCCATTTTAATTTTGACTCCTTATTACCGCCAACAACTTTATGTGTATACATATTTACAAGCTGTCAAAATTTTGCGTAGTCCCACGAGCTAGGTAAAAATTATGGCATTCGTATTCATAACGAGAAATCTCAAAACTTTTATTTGGTCTTTCCAAATTTTCTCTTTTTAATCAGTTGGCAAAGGCCCTCAGTGGCAGCGCTCCGAGCGTTGAGATAGTAATTTCATGTCAATTAGTAGAAAAGTTCCATGTTAAAAAAACTTTTTATTATGGCGAGAAAATTTTACATTTCTGCTGTGCCAATTCGTAACTTTTTACTGCTGGAAATTTTTGACAGTTGCTCTGGTTCAAAAGAAGTTGAGCAATTAAAATCAGAAATTATACAAAAAAGACATGTCTTTACTGACATTTATTCTTCTAGAACTGAAAGCCATGAATTTATTAGACGCCTTAGTAATAAAATCAAACCATCAGGCCGGGTTGAAAATTTTCATTCACCTCATAGTTAACAAAAATTTACAATCCGTAGTACTTTTCTATCAATTTGCGTTTAATTTAAATCGTTTAGAAAATGCGTCATTTATGTATACCATTTTCAGGTCTATTCTGCGCTGGTAATAAAAAGTTTGTAACCGGTAATTAAAGTTCCTGTCAATTTTTAAACCCTTTTCGCATTCTGTGTACTCTTGCAACCGGTAAATTTTGTTACCATCTCATAAGCTGGTAACAAAGTATTGCCCCGTGAAATATGCAATGCCAGAATTTGCACAATTCTTCAAAGCTGAATCGCTGAATATTTTAACTGCATTACCAACGTTCCTAGAATGGCGGTGACAAGAACTGGTAACATTTTTTGGCAATAAAATTCTTCGGTTACAAAAGCTTCGGTAACGCGCAGAATAGACCTGGTTATGTGGAATTATTCAATAAATTTCGTTTTATATTATACGTTTTGAAACTATTTGGAGTTAATTATTTTTTGTTTCTTAAAAGCAGC